CGCCCTGGCCCGGTCGGGCGGCCCAGGTAAGCGCCGAGACCGGCCCGCGCCCGCAGCGCCCGAGCCCTCACCAGGCGGGGGCTCGGGGTGCTCCTGGCCCTTTGTCTCCTGGGGAGGGGCGGCGGAGGGTGTCCCCGACCCTGCTCGGACCCGCCGGCTCCGCTTCTGCGGCGCAGTGCCCTAGTCTGGACCAGGCCTCCTTGGGCCGCTTGGCCGCCGCTGTCTCCCTCCGCAGGCCACCCTGCAGCCTTCTTCACCTCAGTCCTGGGGTCGCCTCCACAGGTGTCCTAGCCACCCACCCTGTTGCACACCCACCATCCCGGCGTGGTTGTCATTGCCTCTCCACCCTTCAGCTCTCCGTGTCTCCCTTCCTCTGAGCCCTACAGCCGGCATCCTGACTCTCCATATTTCTCCGAACTAAAATGCTGCCAAGGTCTGGCTATTGGGCCGCCCTTCCTCTCTGTAGTTTCATTGAATCGTCTCCTGGAATCCACCTCTCTTTGGTGAGTGCTCTGGGAGGTACACATGGGAGGCACATGTCTCACCTGTATGGCAGGCAGGTATACGTGAACCTGCAAAATTAACCACTTGGAGTCCAAAACTGCACTTTCTCATCACCCGCATCCCAGTCACCTCCCCCCCCTCCTTTTTTTTTTTTTTGGAACCTGGTAACTAAGACACAGATCTGGACACCCAACCTCTGTTAGGCCCTACATCCTTCACTCTATCTGGTGTGCTGGACCGACCAGTCTGAGCAGTACCTGCTGTCAGGTTAGCCCCTGGGAAGGCTGAAGGGGCCAGTATTGGCAGCAAACCAAGTTTAATGACTAATGAGACCTGTGGCTTGCAGCGCCTCCTATCTGAGGATCTAAGTATAATATAGCTGTTAATTATTTTGTCTCCTGTCACTCACAGAACTTAGGGAAAAGGTGCCTGGGGACTGCTAGTAAATTGAGGCACACGGTGTATTGGTGAGGGACTTGGAGGCTAATCAGAGTTTGTCCTGCTCCCAAATGCCTTGGCTCTCAGCTCCCTGCTACAACCACTGGGCTCTAGTTCTTGGTTTTCTATTCTGAGTGAGAACTGATCCTTTGACCGATAACGTGTCCAGAGATAGCAACAGTTTCCTCTGATTTAAAGCAGGACTTTGAGTCATAAAAAAGATGCAAGCTGTTCAGTGCTAGTGTCTGTCACATGTGGTTTTCTGGTGAAGTTAGTGGTCCTTGTAGATACAAGTCATCTTTTTTTTTTTTTTTAATTTAGGTAATACTATTTTGTTTTGTTTTTTTTTTAAATTTTACCAGAGAGAGACAGAGAGAGAAAGAGAAAGGGAAAGGGAGAAAGCAAGCCACCAGGTCCAGGACTCGAACCATGACCAGCCATGTGGGAATCCAGTGCCTTTAACCACCACACCACTACTGGCCCATACACGTCATCTTGATGGTATGGAGAGTCATTCATTCAGTTATGAGCATATACTATAAATGTGCCAGGCATCATTCCAAGTCCTGGGACTTCAGGCGTGAACACATCCCTGAATGGAGATGGCATTTTAGAGAGGAGGGAGGACAGACATTAAGTGAGCAAACAAATAAGTGCATAAAATAGTAAGGGAGATGGGGAGGGACCAGAACACACAGGAATCAGAATCTGTAGATCCAAAAGAAGAAAAAGATTTTGTAGGTAATAATGAATTTGTTGGTTTTAATTTGCTGAAGGACATGTGTGCTTGCTCGAGAGAAATAAGACAGGCAAAGTAAGAAAGCCCCCTGGGGGGGGGGTGGCCAGGCCACAATCCCATCTCTGCTATGAATTTTTGGCATGCATACATCTATGTATGGCATGTTTTTCAAGTCTCTGAATCTGGGGCCCAAACCATTCTGTCAGCCATGTGGAGTCCATCCTCCTTAACCACCATGCCAGTGGCTGACCCCAAGAATTTTGGATTTTATTACATGTACACTTAGAAGCCATTAGAGGATTTTAAGCAGAGATGATGATATCTGATTTATTTAAAAAGATTCTTCTAGGTGCTTTACAGAGATTGGATTGTAAGGAGCAAAGATGGAGCAGGAATAGCAGTTGGGAGTCAGACTGTTGCAGCTGCTTGTGTGAACCTGGGCGGTAGAAATAGAAGTGAGGAGGTGAGTTAGTCTGCTCCTTCTGGGAGAGCAAGAGGGCTATAAAGCAAAACTTTGGGCAACCCTGAGAGTTAGATGTTTAGAAGAGAAACTCTAGACCTGACCGTGCTCAGGCTTAGTTCAGTAAATCTTATTCATATTATCGCCAGGTTTCCTGTGCTAGAATCTAGGACTACAGCACGAGTAAGATGCCTGCCCTTGAGCTTAGAGGCTGGTAGACTTCATGGTTTACCTCACAGCATTCTCCACGTTGTAAGTTGTAACATGTTCACAGAACAGCTCAACCTCTTCTTGAGAGAAGAGGGTATGTAGGTTTAAAAGTCTGATAGATGGAGTAGTGGTTACATCACTGGACTCCCACATAGTCAGCCATGGTTCCAGTCCTGGACCCGGCGGTTTACATCTCATGTTGGACGTGTGTATGTGCATGCCCAAAATCCCAAGAGGAAAATGGAGGAGAAGGGGTGGTGGTGGTGGGGGGTGATTTCTCACTTTCTGTCTCTTGTTTCTCCGGTGTGCACATGCGTCCTATAGCAAAACTTTCTCTAAAAAAAAAGAGAGAGAGAGAGAAAATCAGGTAGAGGTGGAGGAGGAGGGCAGAACACATCAGGCCTTGTTCTGCATTGGCTGCATTATCTGAACGGGGGCAGTGAGATCCTGCCTCTGTTGCAGGATGTTGCACAAAGAAATCGGCATTGTTCTCAGGGTACGTGAGAGAACAGCTTAGTGACTATGAACTTGAGCTATTAACCAAAATAAAACTTGATTCCCAAGCTGCTCCAAATCTGTGCCTTCAAAACATGGCAGAATGAGAGGACTGCGGGGTTTATGTAGGCCAGCCCCTGTTTCATGGTTGGGCATCTTTGGCTTCTAGACACCAGGTAACTCCTTTGAAGTCTCAATGTAGTTTATACATTTTCTTTTGGTGCTTGTCACTTTCTGCCTAAGCTCCATGTGTATGCATGTGACACTAGGCTTTCCAAGACCAGTATCTCCTCTGGATTCATCTCTGTGTTCTCATAGGATCTAGACTGGGGCCTTGCCCAAAGTGTAAACTCGTCATATATTGGTTAGCTTGCCTGACCATCTCATAGCACCTAAAACTAGAACCCAGGAGTCCTAACCCTGCCCATGTGCCCTTACAGACTCTCTCTGGGTTGCAACATTGGTAAATGGTACACTGGTGATAAATCGTACAGTCTCTCATTCACTGCTCAGAGGACAGGGCAGCCCTTCCTTGATGCGTCTGCTTTCTCTGCAGCTCTGCCTACAGGAAACAGCTGCTCAGGGTGCTGACCAAGTGGTTATTTGACACTTAGCAAATATGAAGTGTAGCTCTTAATCAGAGCATGGACTTTGTACCAAGACAATCTGGGTTTGGATCTTGGATCTGTCATCATGAGCTACATGATTTTTAGCAAGTAACTTAACCTCTCCATGTCTCAGTTTTTCCATTTGTAAGATAATAATATTTACCTCATGGGTTTGTTGGGAGGATTAAATTAAGTAATACCTGTTAGATGCTCATAACAGCATCTTAGTACTTAGTATGTGCTTAGGAGAGGTATTAGCAATTATTTTACTTTTATTTATCTGCTTCTTATCTCCTACCAGAATTATTTAGCTCTTTGGCAGCAGAGGTTTTGTCTTTTTTCTTCCTTTTTTTAATTTTTTTGTATCTACTGTTATAGTCCAGTGTCTAAGCTTTGTAGGCACTCAGTACATATTTGTTAAATTGAATGACTTATTGAACACCTACTGTGTGCTAAGGATAGTTGTAGGTGCTGGGGATATAGCCAAGAACAAATTGCCAAGATACATAATGTAATGAAGTGTATCTTCTAGCGAGAGAGACAGATAAACAAGTAAATGAACAAAAGAATGTAGGAGAAAGGGACCAGCGGTTGGTGTAATGGCTGTGTCGCTGGACTCTCATGTAGTCAACTGCGGTTCGAGTCCTGGACCCGGTGGCTTAAACTCATGCCAGGTGTGTGTTGCGTGTGTGCCCAAGATCCCAAGAGGAGAATGGAGGAGAAGGGATTGCGGTGTGGCCATCCCCTCTGGGGGGTGATTTCTCACTTTCTGTCTCTCTGTCTCTCTCTGTTGCTCTGGCGAGCACATGGACCCTATAGCAAAAACCTCTCAAAAAAAAAATGTAGGAGAGTTGAGCCAGGAGGTAGCGTGGTGGTTAAGGTGGCTGGATCCCACATGACCAACTGAGCAGTTGAGTTCTGAACTCAGCAGCTTGGAAAACACTGGCCATGTGTGCATGTGTGCCCAAAATCCCAAGAGGAGACTGGAGGAGAAGGGATTGTGGGTGTCTGTCCCTCTGGGTGGTGGTTTCTCACTTTCCTCCAACTTTCTCTCTTTCTCTCCCTCTGGTGAGTGCACACACCCTAAAGCAAACAAACAAACAAAAAAAGAAAGAAAGAAAGAAAGAAAGGGCAACAACAACAAAAAAAGTAAAGTGGTGGATTAAAGAAAAGAAAGATATGGAAAGTGCCTCATTTAGGGACCAGCAGTTAGCGTAATGGCTATGTCGCTGGACTCCCATGTAGTCGACCACGGTTCGAGTCCCGGACCTGGCGGCTTAAACTCACGCTGGGCGTGTGTGCGTGCGTGCCCAAAGTCCCGAGAGGAGAATGGAGGAGAAGAGATTACAGGGTGGCCATCCCCCCTCGG